AGCGTGGTGGCGTCGGCCTTGTAGCTGCCGCGCTGGAGCAGTCGCTCGACTGCCGTCTGGAGGCGGCGCCAGAGCAGCCTGATGCACTCCGTCGCGAACGGCAGCCGCAAGCGAGCGGGCGTGTCTGTGCAACCTGCCAAGCTCGCGAGCAAGTCGACCACGTGCGAATTCGACGCCATGCACCGACCCCAGCGCGAGACGAGCCGCCGCATTGCCGGCAGCAGCGAAAGAGCATGCGGTGAATCCAGTTCGCGGCGGGCGTGAGGTGGGTGCCGCGGACGACGCGGAGCTTGTCACCGAGAAAAGCGCCGAGGACGTTTACGTTGCCGACAAGCTCGAGCGCGTGCATCATGACCTTGTACGCGGACGCCGCCGTCTTCTTGCGGCTTCACCGCCACACGAATGCCCATGTCCGAAGTCGCGTCCTGGAGCACCTTGGCGGCTGCCTCGGGGTCGGTCGGCGCCAGCGCGATCGCCTGCGCCGCCACCACTTTGGCCCCGAGTACGCACATTGTCTGGGTCTTGAACCATGCAATCAAGAACGCCGGGTCCCCTTCGCGCACGTCGACGAGCGAGATCTTTTGGACGTCGAAGACGTCATTGAGCGTAACGTGCTGTAGGTAGAGCGTAGCGCCAGGCACCAGTGGCGCCGCCGGTGGGTAGCTCTCCACGGCTTGGATACCATACGTCAACGAGTAGCGCGTCACGAGTGCAAGTCGGACAGGTTCATCTTGAGGTTGTGAGCGAGCTGAGACGGCGTCTCGGGATCGTCAAAGCGCATGGCCCACTACATTGCACTGCTGCGGTGCCGAGACAGAGTGCACAAGTGGGCGTACGGTGGGTCGGATGGTGGGTCGGATGGAACCGTTGGCTGGACGCCCTGTCCCACCACGTCAACATCGACATGTCCTAACGGAGATATATGCTGGCTTTGTCGCGATTCAATCGATTGCCGTTGAGCAGCGAGGCGTCGTCGCCCTACATGTCCATAGATCGAAGCATCGTTCAGGAAGACGAAAAACGATCGTAAAAAGTGTGTAGAGTCTACCTACCATCTTGAGATGACGATGTCTCGGCATGTCTGCCCGGTAGGCACATCGTCTGGAAGGTTAGCCCCGGCCACCATGAGTCGGACTCCTCCTCTAACGATACTCGCAACGAAAAAGACCATGAGGCAGTCGTTCTTGGCCCCGTCAGCCTTGCGAGGATCGTCAGAGGAGGCGTCCGACACGGACTTATCGTCCCTCTTCTCATCTTCTATGCTCTCAACGCATCCAAATGAATTTAGATTGCAACATTGATGGGACACTCGCTCAAGTCGGCTCGAAGCCGAGCGGAGCCAAGCCGGTGCCAACTATCAATGTATCAGTCTATCCCTGAGAAATGTCTTGCATAAAAGTGTCAATAAACTTTCTGAACTAGTTAGTGTGGCAAAGGGCTACCATAAATGCGACTAAATAAACGACTAGAACGGGTGCACTTTGGGCAGCGACCGCGGCGACGTGCTGCTGCCATTGCCGAGCGCGGGGCGTGCGACTAGAAGACGTCGTCGTCACTTGCGATGGCTAATGGAGGTCTACCTTGGGGGCCATGCGCCATCGCCGACGCCATTTGGTTGAAGAACGACGCGTTCTCGGCGACCGCGGCCTCGAGCTCCTTGATCTTCGCCTCTTGCTCCAGCGCGAGCTCAATGAGCGACTGCCGGACTTCGGCGCTGTTGACGAGCATCTCTTCGAGCGGCATGGACGTGGCCGGCAGCGGCACGCACGCGCGGGAGAGCACCGCTGCCCGGAGCCGCTCGACGTCGTTGGAGACCTGCGTCGCGAGCGGGTAGTATTCGCAGGCGGCGTGCCACGCAGTGGCCGTGAGCGAGTGCGCGGTGAGGAGGGCGGTCTGCACCGTCGGATTCGTCAGAATCGTCGAGAGACGCGACGTGGCCTTGTCCTGGATCTTGGTCACGAGGAACCGAACGACGGAGTAGCTCATGCTGTAGTCGTACACCTCTTTGACCGTGTCAATGACCGGGTGCAACGGCTCGAGCGCCGGCGGGAGGTGCGGCTCGGGTGGCGGTGGTGGCGCGACCAGGTCGGCCTCGACCACTGCGGGCTTGCGCGGCGGCTCGGGCACTGGCGGCGCCGCGGACGGCGTCGCATCTGGGTGGGACACAGCCTACCGACGCGATCGGATACCGTTGACGAAACCTATATGGGAATGGTACCTGCAAGATCTGCGTCAGCGCCTTGATCACCATGGGCTGCTCGACGACGACCGAGAGCGCCTGAAGGCACTGCGCATAGTTGTCAACGAGATCGCCGTTCTCGCCCGTCGCGTTGCTCGGCGCTTGAATGCCCAGGGCACCGAGGACGTGGGCCATGTCGCCAGCGTCCAACGCGCATGTCACCGAGCTCTGGCCGTGCCGAGGGCTCGCGACGCGCGCGGCTTCCACGACGATCGCTTCGCGCGCCGTCGCACGTCGTTCGTGCTCGTCTTCCTGCAGGCGACGGGCGTGCTGGCTCGACGTTGACACGTGCAGTCGGCCGCCAGGTGTCTCGACCCGACGGTGTGGGTGGTCGACGTCGTCGTCGATGTGGCGCGCGGCTTGGTCCTTTTGCCGCTGGAGCTCGTCCCGCATCGCTTGGCACTCGCGTTCGAACGCTTCGCGGTGGGCTGCTTCGGCCGCCGCGCGCTCGGCCGCCCACGCTGCCCGAGTCGCTGCCTCTTCGTCCCTTTGTCGTTGCCGCTCGGCGGCGAGCGCTGCGCGTTCGGCAGCCGCCGCGGCTTCGATCGCGTCCCGCGCGCGAGCCAGCTCTTCCTGCTGCTTGCGCAGTTGGCCGGCGACCGTGGCTTCTTCGGCGCGACGGCGCGCATCGCGGGCCTCGCGGGCCGCCTGCCACACGCGACGCGACCGCCACAAGCGCTGGCACGCATCCACACCGCGGCGCAGGCGGCGATAGCGCGTCAATGCGACATGTCGGCGGTAGGCCGATTGGATCATTGTGGCACTCGCCTTGCGCTGACGCCGCACCGTCAGCGCCGCTCTCGCCCACGTCTGCAGCAGTTGCACGGCCTCGCGGCGGGCCTTGGCGTCGACGCGCGCGACGTGGCCACGGTACAGTCGCTGGAGCGTGAGTGTGCACGCCGTCAACGTCTGCCGACGCAGCCAGCGCAGTTGGTTGTACACCTCTTTTCGGAAGAAAATCTTCGAGTACCCGAGCTGGAAGCCCGCGCGACCGCACGCGTCTTGCAGCTCCGTGCGCGAGTACTTGCCGTTGCTGAGGATGGTCCTTGCGAGCGCCGCGTCCGGAGCGTCAAGTGCGAGGAGCACTGCGGCGACGACGAGCTCGGTGCGCTGCTTCATGCCGTCGCCTCGGTGCCCACTCGGCACCGATTTTGGTTTCTTGGGTTTAGGCACAAGGAACCCAAACGCTTGGACAAAGTGACTGTGGTCTTCACGCACCGCGTATCCGGCGCGCGCGATGCGGACGGCTTCGAGGACGCCGCCCGACCGGAGTTGCTGCACGACGCGGGGCTTGTGGAGGCAGCGGGGCGCGCCGGCGTCGTTGGATTTCACGCACCGAATATAGCGCGCTTGCGTGTTCCCAATGACGCGAATGAGGTCGTCGAGCTGGGACTTGAACTGGGCGCTCACACTGGCGGCGCGCAGACTACTCGGTGCCCGCGAGAGAGCACCCTTGGTCGTCGATCCTCCGCCTTGCTTGCGCTTGGGCGCGCCCAAGAGCGCCTGCACGATCGACGCCGACGAGCCTTGGCAGAGTGCGACGGCTTCGGCCGGCAGCGCGTCTTGGTTCTTCTGGAGGAATGCGTCGAGCTCGTACATAACGCGCCCGGCGAAATGGCCAATCACAAACTGAAAGCTCGCTTGCTGCGTGCGTGACGCGTAGAACGGTCGGGCACCCGCGACCACGGCGCTGCCAGACCGTCGTACGACATGCGGCGATCGACCAGCGGTGGTCGACGGGTGACGTCGGCGCTCGAGACGCGGCGGCTCGGCAACGCCATGGGCGTTGG